GTGATGGCATGAAGCAGTAGTGGAGCAATAACAACCTAGGACCACTAAGAGTCCTTGTCTGTACAACCACATTGATGTAACTTTCTGAAGACTAGATTTCCTATTGGTACATAAAACATTAAGATATTCCAGAGCAAAAAATCCTCAGGTGACCACATGAACTAGTGGAGTAAAAATAATTGAAGATGAACTTTTTTGAATGTAGCATCTTTTGGAAGGACACATAGTTGACGCCTTTGCTGAGGCTATGGAATTCCACAAAACAAGTAATACTTCATATACCTACCATTTTGTATTATTGCATCCTTGCAGGAGGAGAAATTCCTAAAGCCTTCAATTAAGACATGTCCATCTGAAAAAAAACCCCAAACCAAACTGAACCCACACCCAAAAAAACCTCCCAAGCCTTGATGGAGAAAAAAAGACACACATACTGTTTCATAAGAAATAGCACTACAGTGCAGGCTACCCAGTTCCTACCTGGAGTGTCCCCGCTCTCTCCCAGGTCCCACACGACCAATGATTGTCAGTTTCCTCCCATCTCCCTCACACCAGCCACTACACTAATTTCAATTCTCCTGTCTTTTCAGAGCCTTTAGCAAAAGGCAGCTCATTTGGTAGCTATTTTACCAGATATAATCTGTACCTAACCTGCAGCTGCATGTGTGCTGGTTGAACACCCAGCATATTAAATGCAAACTGCCAATGAAAAAAGATAAACGCTCATTCTCCTTGCCTTTCCTTGTCCCATCTGGGACATAGAAGGGTTCTTCACTGGATGATGCATTGCCATAGTCTTACCTCCTAATTTGACCACTTAGCTTCATGACTTCCGGGCACTTACTATCTTTGCGACCTCTACTCTTTTTATGCTGTCAACCAAATGACTCAACAGGCTCAAAAGTTATAAAGTAAGATGAAGAGAGTATTTGTAGTAAGTTTTTTTCTTTAGGGGAAAAAAACTCTTTTAAAAGTGAGGTTATTTTATCCTAAGAGGTAAAATAACCCAATAAAGGCCAGTCTGTAGCAGGAAGAAGCTAACTGGTATCCAGTGACAGGATGCACGGGAACAGCTCAAAGCTGCGCCAGGGGAGGTTTAGACTGGACATTAGGAAGCATTTCTTTACCGAGAGGGCGGTCAAACACTGGAACAGGCTTCCTAGAGAGGTGGTGGCTGCCCCATGCCTGCCAGTGTTTAAGAGGCATTTGGACAATGCCCTTCATAACATGCTTTCACTTTTGGTGAGCCCTGAGGAAGTCAGGCAGTTGGACTAGATGATCATTGTAGGTCCCTTCCAACTGAAATAGTTTAGTCTAGTCTATTCCATTCCATTCCACTCCATGCCATCCCAACACAGCTACATTTGCAGCTACAGAGAGAGAAGGAAACAAGGGAGCCACACCATGTTTCACGCTCTCAGTATAGCACATACATACAAACATCCCAGATGTATATGCTGCCCCAAAAGGAGATTCTGGCTAAAAGGCTCTAAGCATTAAGTGCACACAAGGAACAGGATATACACACAGGCAAGTTTTTTAAGAACAGCTATTTTTTCATGTCTGAAGGTGGAGAACTAGATATGGTCATAGGTTATTGTCACTTCCCAAGTTAAAACATGTTGAAATAATAACATTTTGAAACTTACTTTCTTTACATTAAGAACTGAATAATGGTTGTGTTTCTGCTACAGCAGCTACATGCTCTCTTCCATATACCTGTAAGAATAAAGCACCTGTCTCACAAAAGTGCTGAATTTTCATTTTTAGTCATTCCTTTGTTGTTTGCCCGTGTCATCAGATCTGCTTAATGCCCAGCGTCAAAGCTCCCATCCATTGCTGACACAGAAATCATTGTAAGGATTGTTATAAGGATTCTGAGCTCACATACCCATTTCAAATGTTTAACCTTTGTCTAGGTATCCAAAAAACAGTATAGGAAAATAACAAGTACATACTTTTAATTAGCTAGACTAGTATTTTCTGGAGGGACGCTATCTCAATAGCCATATTCCCCACGTCCTAGATGCAGAGTAAATTCCCACTCAGCAATGCATGTCTGTCTGTGCTAATATTGCCACCTACAGGAAACCACAGTGTCTTTTTAGTAACTGTACTGCTTAAGCAAATTCTCACAGAAAACTGTAACAGCAAGACAGGTGAAATAAAAAGACATCCCTTATCACCCAGTTTTTCCCTCGAAAAAAGATTTTTTATTGACAGCATTGAGACCAACAGTTGCAGTATTTCTGTATTTTTACAGCACCCTCGTCTCCACTCCCAGTCCCGCAATGGCCTCTAACCATCTTCCCTGTTCCCAGGCACTGGGGGGGTGAGAGGGGAAGGCTGCTGAAGCAGGGGGAAAGACCTGCAGAGGAACCTGACCTACGATCTTGACCTGCTTGTTTTTAATCCTCTAAGGAACCCAGTTTATTAAAAAACAGGAAATACAGAAATGGAAGTCTGGTTTGTAAGCTTAACCCTGGCAGAAAATGGGTAGTTGTGTTTAATTTTCTGATGCCCAATTTAGGAATAAATACTGCTCACGTAGCGCACTTACTCTAAAGCCAGATAGAAATCAAAAAAAGGAAAATGCTGAACTCTGTTAGAGATGGGTGGATAAGCAGGCAGGGGCTGGGGGAATCAGACTTCAACTCCTTAATGGTAGTAATCACCTAACTTCCTAGCAGTGCACAATGCGCTTAAAAAAAAGTCAGCTTTACCCAAAATAGCCATAGAGCTTTCTTTGTTAATTTGATTAAATCACAGTTTTATATACTTGAGCTCAGCATTACTCTTTTCAGAAGTCTTTCTCAGTCTTTTTTGTAAGATCCTTACACTTTAAAATAGCTTTAGTATTTTGGGTTCTGTGGGAAATTTTGGTTAAGTAATGCCACTAAGATTCTTTCTCAACACACGTACCATAGCACAGGCAAGTTCTTAAGATATTTAATTTCTGTAAACAGATATCGCATGAGACTTAAAACTCCACATTTTTCAACTGTCTGTGGTCTAAAGTTCTGACTTACAATACTTAGGCATAACATGATCATGACTTGGCTGGAGTCATTCCCCTCCACTTAACATCATCAAGCTGAGTTATCTTGCACCAATTAATTTTCACAGAGCTCTCACTTTAAATAAAGTTTCAGAAAAGTTACTCATCTCTCAGGAAAAGGCAGGAATAACTTAAGCCCCACAATCCATGGGCAGTTATGGTCCTTCCTTTACATCAGAAGCGCATCTTCTACTCTTGCTTGCATACCTCACCTGGTATTTTTCCCCATGTTGCAACTAACTTCCCTAACTCTGCAATAGAGTGGACATAACTAACAACCTCTGACTACATCCATTTGTTTTCTGTAACAAAAAACCTCTTCAGATAGCACCTGTTCCCACTGTTCCTACCCCATGGCTTTCCATCAACTCACAGAGATACCATTAACTAACTTCTCAAAATTTAGGTATGTTTTCAGGGCCAGACACTCCAAAGGTAGCTTGTGTAAACTGTTACATCCACAGAGAAAAACTGAAGACGTTTGTATATGACCACGGGCAATTACAGCCTTAGAACACAGGATTTCTTCTCCTAAGTCATTCTATTTTAGAGAGCCTACATACTGCTATTCCCACACTGGTACAGGGCTTGGCCTGAGGAACTTTGTCATGGCAGCTTTTGGATCTGGTACCACTGCAGTGAGAATGAGAACACATCCTCCAACACAAGAACCACACTTACAAAGTATTACAGAGAGGAAATTGACTTCAAGCTGTTCACAAGTCCAGGGCTCTATGCAGTTGCATTAGCGGTACCTATCAGCATTGACTTCAAGGGGCGCTGGTAACTCACCATCTATTTGAGAAAGATGCAGTTGAGAGGAACAAGAAACACAAGAACATAAGAAAACTCAAACTACAAGCACAAGTAACTTGAGCAGGGCTATCATCAGGAACTTTACCAAGTTTCATTACTTTAGAATAGTCATTAAATGTCTAAATACATTTCGAATGCCATTTATCTTTAAAATGGGAAGAAGATGATGCCATAGAATAGCATACCTGATAGACAAACAAGACAAACCCTAAAAGAGAACATTGCCACATGAAATATTTATCAAAAATAATCTGGTAACTTGCTTCCAGTAGTCATTTGTGAAAGCATAAAACTGACTATTTTCATATAGTAAGGATTAGAAAACTCATGCAGGATTTTTGTTTTTAAACTCAAAACAGGTACTGCTGCTTCTTTTTCTGTCTCCTCATACTAAACTATCCGCCATTTAACTTGCACAGTACATTTCTTAATTACTTCAAAGGAGCCGCGCTACTGCCCAGCTGTTCTGACCAACTCATCTTCTCCAAATAACTTTCTGTCCCTGTCCATGGACCACATGAAAAAAAAAAAAATTACGTTACCAGATATTGCAAGCTTCAGACATCTGAAATAGTATTTGACAGGTAGAAAAATAAAGCTATGTCTCCTAAGCTCTCAAACAACAACCTAAAATAGGATAATATCCCATATTATACAAGACACAAAAGGGAGCCAATTTTTTCAAATTATCTTAAAACTTTACAGTATTATCCTTACAATATTATGTCACTGACTTCTTTACAACAGGCGGTGGAAGAAAAATTAACACTTTTGCAAAAAGTATTCTATAAAATTACATTTTTTAAAATCAACGTTACCTTTATTAGTACACTTGACAGTTGTGAAAGACTGTTAGCAAGGGAAGTTTACAGAGCCATAAGTTCATTGATTTACATTTTTCTGTTAGTGATAGACTCTCCAGAATTAAGACAATCACTTCACTAGCATAGATAAATGGTTTACTAAGGCAACCAGTTTTCAGATACCTAGTCTGCATAAGAATATTTATTTATTTATTTATCAAAAGCTGCATATTTCTTCTGGAAAGAATAATTCTCCCACCCACCCCATTTGCTTATTTTCTTCCATTTTTAAAAGTGGATGCTAGCTTCAGACTTGCAGGTTGTGTGTGAAGACAGATTTATTGTTACACAGATGCGAGGCAGCTACATGCATTCCACTTCCAAGAAAAGCAGGCAGTTCTATTCAGTTTCACCTGTTTATTTCTTGCTTGCCTCTTCACTTTAAAGCTGGAGCAAGTAACATGTCCATCCGTATTTGTCGCAAGTACAACTATGTGATGTAACAATTATTCCAGACGTGAGCTCATTTCTTTTTCTTCCCTTTACCTTTCTTGCCCCCCTCTCCTTGCTGAAGACTTTGATCGCTACCTCCCATCTTTTGGGTTCTTGTTTTCAGTTTGGGAATGGTTTCTGCAGCATACAGCATCACTGATTTACCTAAAAATACAGGGAGAGATCAATGCATGCCTACTATGTTAAGAACATTTGCATCATTTTCAAAGTTAGAAACTTCAGCCCCACTTCAGATTTCTGTTAAACTACACATAAAGCCTAGGAGTTCTGCTTCCTTCCCCTGTGTAGCTAGAAGTTTGTGAAAAACTCTTATCAACCTTTTTTTTTTTTAAACTTTTAAAAAGTGCAGGACTGATAAATGTAACAGCATACTTTCCTGAT